GGCCAGTACATATGATGTAACCCAGCCTGGTGGAGATTGACCCTAGCACCTTCAAGGACAGACCTAATGGATCTTTCGGCGATAGCATTGGACTTAGATATGTACTCCTTACTTAGCACATGTCTCCATCTGAGATCCTTCAATGCACTTAAAAGTTCTAGAGCATTGTCACTATACATGATGCCGACTTCATCATTATGTCCAATGAAGTGCTTTAATGCTAAGACTGCATCTTTGGCCGTTCTCCTACCACTGGGATAGATGTACATAAAATCAGTAGCCACATCCTTTACAACCATCGCGACCTGTTCTCCATCAAGTCCCGCCTCCTCATCGGTAGCGGCGATTAGAAAGTCGGCAGTGATATGTTCTGCAAATCTTTCGGCATCGATATGTTTAGACCCCCCGGATACTCTGGATGGGGGCTTCAACATCTTGGCTTGTTGACAGGTCTTGCAATATGGATTCTTGGGCAAATGACAGAGTAAGTGGCTCTTAGATTTTGCTTCTTCCCTAAGTGCCTGTTCACCTTGACTCCGTTTTGATGAGAAGTCTACGACAAAGGCCTCTCCTTCCGGAGGACTAGATGATTCTTCGTCCTTTTCTTTCTTTTTGCCCGAAATGTCCACATGCACAACATCAGGTCTAGAACTATCTGGTCTGGGTGTTCCCTTCGGGGGATCAGATGAAGCTAGTTCTTCCATCTCAGCCACAAACCCATCTATGTCGAGAGGAGGATCATCTCTTTCAATGTGGATAATAAACTCCCCTGGATCCCTTTCTGGTTCCACATCGGCGACCGGCACGGCCTCCCGGCGTGCAACCTTCTTGGCGGGTGCAGCAGTGAGATGCCGTGGCTTGGCAGCAAGGTAGGGTACGTAGTCATTCACGGTCAATGGGACCAATTTACCATCTGGTTTCATAAAATATTGGTCTTCTCCCTTCGAACCCTTCCAAATGAAATCATAACCATCGTCAATGCACCTCATGCCGACTGATAGTACAGCTGGAGTACTCTTGACTAGGTACGGATCTACGGTCTTCCCCAATCTTGGGACAAACACTTTACCTTGTTTAGTGGATGAACTTTCACCATTTGCAGTCATCATTCGAATTGGATTGGAGGAGTAGTATCCATAGTCGTCAGGCAATTCCCCTTGTGATACGAGATCTTGGGCACTGCCTGTGTCAGCAATCCAGTCGATCTGCAAACCTTCGACCATCTCCCTTGACTCAGCAGGGGCGGCAACAATGCCCTTAGGAATGCAGTGATCACAACCAAATTCAGTGTCACATTCATAGTTGCATTTGGCCGTGATACCCTTCAAGGAATTCTCAACAGCCCCGGACAGCATGGTGGCAGACAATGCACTATCGTTAACAGTTTGTTGATCAACTTCAAACTTATGACCCCATGGATAGGTGGTTCTATTCTTTGGCTCGCCATTGACAATTGGCCACATGTTCCCACGGGCTGCAATCCGGTGCACGTCAACCTCATCGGAGAATCGGATGCCGATGCTGGGACAGCATACCTTTGCGGGATCGATTGCAAAACCACTGGCCACGGATGCAAGCATGGATGCTACCAAACAAACTGCTGCTGGCGTTGCCTTACCACTGCTGGAACTGTTCTTATTCCCCTTTGGTGATCTGGAATTTCTGGTGCTTTTAGGTCTGCCAGGGCTTCTTGATGACTTCCTACCGGGACTCCTAGATGTCTTCTTGCCTTTCTTCCCACTTGAATTGGACCTAGCGGGAGTGGCCTGTCTTGGCTTCCCAGCAGGGCCATTGTGCGAAAAATTGCACTTGTCACCCCGCTCATATCTTCCCCTTTTCCAGAAAATGCATTCTTTCTTCTTACCCTTACCTTTGGGCGATTGGGTTCTTGATGGTGATCGTCCACGACTTGAATCCCTTTTGGGTTTGGTGGAAGGAGTTCTCTTGGAAGGAACCTCATGTTTGAACGTGCAATTCTCATTAGTGCATCCACCCTTGTTCCACTTTACACAGTAACCCCTCGGAATGAACCCTACCTTTCCTTCGACAGCGGGTGCGGAAGGCTTGGCAGTGCCTGAAAGGTTCCGAGCAACCCTCTCTCGGTTGGTCTCCAGGCGTTCACGGTCCAGGTGCCTGCGCACAGCGGAAACAAGGAAGTCGTACTTTCTTTTCTCTGTGCCTTCATCTGCTCGATGGTATTCGTTCAGATCATGGGTTATAGCTTTGCAGTTCTTTACCTGATTATAGAACAGTGTTTCCAGTACTGATTCTTCAGGAACTTTCACAATGCCTGCAAGCACTTGATCCCAATTTGAAATGAACGTTTTCAGGTTCTCTCCCTTGAGGTGGACACTGAAAAGATCTTGAAGGGCGTAGGTTGAGCCATGTTTCATGTTTGTGCTGAAATGATCGTGCAGCATGAAAAGGACTTGGCGACCCCTAACAATTCTCCCCTCATTGGCTTCGGTCTCCTTGAAAGTGTCAACCTTTCGGGCGAAATCTCCCGTGATGATATTGGTTAGAGCCGACAGGAGTTTGGCATCTAGTGTTGCAAACGGCGCCACCTTCCAGAGGGCTTCAATTGTCTGACCTTCCTTCCAAACATCACCAATCCAAGCAAATGCTGAATCAGGGTTGGTGGAGGCTGCGACAATTGCCTCTCGGGTTTTGATACGCCAGTTTCTGTATGTCTCCGGACCTGGGATGGCTGGAAGCTTTATGGTATCTGCTTCCTTGACCTTGGGTTTCTCATCATTACCACTTTGGTTGAAACCACCCCCCAAAAACTTCTTCCTACGTCGAACAAACTTGTCATCACTGTCTTCAGAATCTTTGTCCGGGTCGTCATCTCCTCCTCCCCCGCCACCTCCTGATGCCTTCTTCTTGTCCTTCTTCTTATTGACTTCAGGCATAGGTGATGGTGACGGGACGGGTGAACCATCATGATCATCTCCATCATCTCCATCGTCCCCTCCCCCCGGGCCATTACCTCCATCGCCCCTGTGATTATTGCCTTCATTGGGACCTTTATTAGGCTTTCGACCAGAACCCCCATACGGCACGGTGTGACCAGACATAGGGGTATGATCTCCCGAGGCATTGTTCAGGGGAAAACCATGTAGAGGACTCGGGTTAGGATTACTCTCCGCCCGTTTACAATACGTTATATTGATACCACCCACCGGGATTCGTCCTGCGACCATTTCATCTGCTTCTCCATCCGTGTTGCTAGCATATGGGCCGGCAAGCATCGGTGGAGGAACATACGGTGGGGGAACAATTTCAACGTTGGACGGATCATGGAACAGATGCTCGGATGCAGTCGGAGGATCGACTGTACACGCCGGGATCGGAGCAGAGATAACGAACGGTTCTGCCATCCTCGTCAACGTCGCGGTTTCCACAACTTGGACTGGAGGTGGCTGCGACAGCTGGGAGTCCAACATACTTTGGAGCTTTTGGTTGTGAAGACTTTGTTGCATCACAAGCTCTTCGAGCCTCTTGATGCGTTCTTCCTGCACTCGCTCCTTTTCGGCGGCCAAGTTCCGGAGGTGCTCAATCTCACTCTCCTTGGTGGCCATTGATTGACGGAGATTGGCGTCCAAAATTCTTTGATACGCCTGAACCTTTTCTGTACACTGAGCCTCATGGGCACGGACATGCTGAACGGCCTCACTTTTGATGTTCTCCTCATTCTCCCGCAGAAACATCCTTGCCTGATTGATCTCTTGGGCTTCACGCATTTGCAATGCTTCCTTCAGACTTCCAGTCAATGCTTCATGACGGTGATTGGCCTGAGCTTCCGCTTCGGCTATGGCCATGCGGTGACGCGCTTCGGCTGTCTGCTCAAGCAATTCCGTATATACTGGATCATGAGTCTGAATGAGTACCTTGCTGTTCTGAACGTAGTGCTGCTGATCAATAATCACACGTTGTTCGTGGTTTACATTCATTTGATTGAACACTCGATTTCCAGAACTTCCAGTACTATGAACGTTCGGACGTTCGGCCCACCCTCCCGGGCAGCGGCTGGCAAAACACCTCGATGCGAAAATCCTGAGTTCTGTGGCATCATTGCGACAGCTTCAGTAAGAGGCGTCCCACCTGCTCGCTGGCTCGTTGATCTCTCGGAGCTTGGAGGGGTGCTTATGTCGATCGTCTCTGGGGAGTCGGCGATAGGTAGCATAGGGTTAGCCATGGCACTAACTAGGCGGCAAGGTGATCCCTACAAGCTCAAGGTGGAAGCGATACCAAGAGCAGAACACTACCTAAGGGGGGGAAAACTAGGCTATACGGCTGATAACCTGTATTTCAGGGTTAAACAGCCAACACGCATCAGCTTTTTCTTGAGCCATGCAACAGTATATGGAAGGATTAATCATATGTACATGTAAGTATATTACATTAAAATAAATCCCATGTTCATTCCATATAAACAACATCCTTTCTGGTCGATTGTGCAACCCCCATATATATATATATCCAATGTAAACACATTAATTAAACACAATTTTCACATTACAGTCATCCCAGTTAAATCCCTAAACTTGGGACCCGCTATAGTGAGATCTGCCATAAACCATAGCTGCCATAGCTCGCGGAGTTATGTTCACCAACTTAGCTATCTAAATCCCATGGAAATACCATCAAAAAAAGCCTTCACTATTTCCGTGGATATGATCCTCTTTATCATCTTTATCATAAATGTGGTTTAATCAATGTCACAAACCACCCTTGACTGGGAATGGTGAACCTACCACCTATAAAGATGCTGATGACTGGGGGATGGTTTATGGCATTGTTCTAACCGCAGTAAACTAAATCCCATTATCCTCTGGTAAACTAACATAACTATGGAAAATCATTTTTTTAATGGGAAAACTAACTATAAATGACCATTTTCAATAGCTATGTTAAATTACCAGAGGGTAAATCCCAAGGGACCCCCACCGCAGCTCTTGGGTGCACCGAAGCACCAGTTGATTCAACGACCGAGTTGCTACTCAGCTCCGACGTCAGTCTCTTGGATCGCAGAAAGGGCCACCTGACGAAGCCACGACGCACAGCGACGCGAACGGATAGACATATATATATATATAACAAATGTATACAGTGATGACCATGTATTAGTTATAACTGGTTATAACTGGGTTTATACATTCTATAAATGGGGTTATAAGTACTTATAACTGTTATATGGCCATAACCGTAGCTGAAGTTGAGTCATATATTATATGGCTATATCATTATGCGATATCTACAATTTCGAGAACATGATTTAAATATAGAAATGACTCTAAGTATATAAACACAATGTTAATGTTTGTATAATGCCGTTTGTTTTTGAAATCTCAAGTGTTCAAGATTTATCAAAGAAACAAAACTCTAGGTTTGCATTGACGGGCTCCTGACACTATGGACCTAGCTACCAAGCAGCAGCTGTTTTGGCCACCGCTCAATAATAAACTGGCTAGTTCTTGAATAAGCAAAAACTGACAGAAAGAAAATAACAGAAACTATAGTATAGAAATGTATGTGTTGGATGCTTCGAAATCGCGATGATTCTGGAAAACGTAAAAAAAAAAGACCAAACCTCACCCGAACCTTTCTCGGATTTGTGCTGGGCATGGCTGTATAACCCCTAGCATGCGGGAAATCGTTGCAATCCGGATCAATGCTTTTGTATGTGCAATGATGATGTTGTGATTGCATGTGTGAACATCATAGCAAGGGCGTACAGCTCGCCACATGCATGGAATGTTATCTTGAATGGCTATGAAGAAATGACCCGACATCAGAGCAAACCTAATGTACATCAGAGGTCATCAGAGCATCCATGTTTAAGCCCAGCAGAAACTTTCGAATCCATTCGACCTTTCTTTTGCATCCTCTTACATCCCTTCACATCCTTCTTTTGACTGCTTTGAACTGATCCATTGAAACCCGAGACCAGACCATGGACCTCAATGTTGTTTTGTTTTGGGCCCCTGCCGCCTGACAGGACTCAAGGGTCTGTGGTCACCTCCTCATCCATCACCAGCTGTGCAGGAAAATCACCACGTTGTGCCACCATGCAAACTTCCCGTGCGAGTGTCCGCAACATTTTAGACAGCAAAATCATAAACTCTCTGGAGTCATCAACGAACAAGGCTTGTGAACGCAGCTACATTAATCCTAATCTTCCAGCACGAGTCTGATTCTTGATGGCTTCCGAGGGCCTCGATTTTAGCACAGCACTACAGACGTCTATAACTATAATTATATAATATATAGATGTTTCAAAAATAGTTAATTACTCATGACTGTTCCTCCGTTATATCACAACATTTCAGTGAACACTCAACCCATTCCCCGAATCATTCTCCTAGCATGATTGAAGTTTCAGGTATCTCCCGCACCCATTTCACCCAGCTAACTGGGGCACCGCTTAGCAACCAGGATCACCATCTGGTAATGTAACACTTTGCGATGGAACATCACCCATTTTTAATATGCTTTTCAGAAAGTAGGTATCATATTTTGATAATAATATGTAAATCATCATTCTTATCATATCTTATCATCTAAAAATGGATCAGGTTCGCTATGTTAAATTATGATAAATGATAAATTATGTTGAGTAACCAGAGGTGGCCCCATCCCTTTTTTTTCCTGCTTTGAATGGGGTTTCCTTGGAGGATCATGAAAAACAAATCGTAGCTGGTGAAAGTAAGCCTGCTTACCCTCTGGTAATGACTAACGTAGCTATTGAAAATGGCCATAGAAATAGTGGATTTACCCATGAAAAATGGTGATTTTCCATAGTTATGTAAACGTTTACCAGAGGGTATCATGTACGTCCCCATTATAACTGGATTATATCATTCATCATGGGCGAACTCACCCCATAAACACTCACCAGATGAGATAGTTCCGGAATATCCAATTTCTCCCATGACATCCTCATGGTATCCTCATCATATCCAATGATATCCCCATAACCTATTATAAACATATTATGAATTCCCAGGTACTACAAGGTGAGTCGCCCTAGCCAAGATGACTTATAACTTATGCTACAGGATGGTGCCCCCCAATTATAAGTTGGTTTATAAACCCCCATTAACATCCGTTAACTGTAGTTATATCGACCATAGACCATAGTTAGTCCAGCCACAGCCATATCCCAACTGAACGCTATCGACTGGGGGCACCATAGCGCCTGGGTGGCGCTGGGGTCTTGGACCTGCGAGCAAAGAGGATAACCCACCTCCTAAATGGGGACTACGAAAAAAACCACCAGTTGGTAACTGCTAAACTTATGTAGGAAACTATGAAACCATTCATGGTATAGAGGAGTATCATTATCAATACAATCAATACATAATATCTTTTAAAATTAATGGTAACTATGAAACCTTATATGATACTCTATACCATTATATCCCATTGTTGGGAACTCTTGGGATTCCTATGAAACACTGCTAAAATTTTCATGGGATTGTGGTGAGCATCACCAACTGGGGACACGAATATATATGGCCCATTTATGAGTTGTAAATGGTTATTTCTATGGGACTAGACTATACATTCCATTTTTACGGGGTTAGTTCAGTACTTACACATATGCTCCATGTATGGAATATTTACCTACATTTTCCCCAAAAATCAACCAAATGTAGGTAAATATGCCATACATGGAGCATATGGGTTATATAATAACATCTTGTAACAGGCATTTCGGGCCATAAGTGCACCTCCTAAAAACTCTCCTTTTCTGAGGTCAACTGTTAGGCCTTTCAGCCGCCGCGGCGAAGCGGCGTGCGAAGCGCCGCAGGGCACGGGCCTAACCGTTGATGAAACGCCCGGGAGTGATGAAACCGAAGGGGTCGAAAATTCAATGTATATAGTTCAGTACTTATAACATCTTATAACTGGTATTTCGGGCAATAACTGTAAGGAACATTAGTTTTTTAACCATCAAATATCTAGTGGTGTTCTCGTTTTGTTCTGGAAAATCCTGGTACTATATGCTTGGGTTAAACTAGTGTGCACTGATCTTTCTGTAGACATGTTGTTTTTTTCCTCCGCAAGTCACAGTCACACTAGCTTGAATTAGTCCTTGAAAACCTACTTGGATGTAAAATGTCACGATTGAACGATACAAACATTTTCCCGAAAAATGGAGAACCACAAATGGAGAACCACATGGCCTTCTCGTCGTCTTTTTTCTCCTTGCTGAAGATAAACCTCCCTGGAAGGCTTTTCCTTGAGAATGCTCCACTCCAAACTCACATTTTGAACCCACATTCGTGTGCTTTTCCCACACAAATAGTTTGTTGTTCCAATATCATATCTTAGCTGATTACATGTTTGTTTAGGCATGATCTCCAAAGTCTTGTTGGTGCATCTCACGTAATTGCTGCGTCATCTCACATTTGCTGTTTTCACAGTTATGGCCATATAACAATTATAAGTACTTATAACCCCATTTATAGAATGTATCAACCCAGTTGTAACCAGTTATAACTAATACATGGTCATCACTGTAGTTGGTGATCTCATCATGTTTCATCCGCATGAAGAATACGACAATCACTTTGGATCATCATCATCATCATCGCCAATGAGGCCAAGGGTTGAATGTGGGAATGACATGAATAGCATGACTGAAACTGGGGGTTCAATCAATAGTCCCAAATCTACAAATTATTGACATCTGGTACCAGACTCTTGAAACTACCAACTGGAAAAAAAAACGTGCAACCCCATTTAAGCAGAACGGCATCTTCCACCCACCATGTATTGCAAGGCCCGTTTTTTGAATGGAGGATAGTGGAGGGTACATCCCTGGAAATTGGGATGTGACCATGAAAGAAAACATATTTGACTCATTTGACAATGAAAAATAACAGCATAACCCCTCAATATCAATGTTAATGGTCAATATAGATTGGTTAAAACTTATTTGACTATTTAATTAACCAATTCAACCCCTCAATATGGTATTGCAGATTTCCTTTATGCGAGCCTCTAAAAACCCCTCTCCCATCTCATGAAATACTAGTTGGTTGAAAACGGTTTTCCGTTAACGATGGGTTAGTTCATAATCACCCTCTCTAGCCTAGGTAGTTTAATTCCGGTATAATAACTAGCCAACCACGATAATTTTAATGGTTCATATATATAATCATATTACCATTATGTATAGACGGTTATATCAGTTATATCCAATCAAATCCCATCAATTCATGATATTCCATATGTATCTATTACATATATACACTGTAATTACCCTCTGGTTATTTAACATAGCCATGGACAATTGCCCATTTATAGATGGTTTACCTATTAAAAATGGGTGGATTTTCCATGGCTATGTTAGTCATAACCAGAGGGTATATTATACTGGACACAGTGAAAAGCCCGTGAAAATATGGTTCTTGATGTTTTCCATAATTTCCTGTAATTTGGGTAAATTGTAGCCTTTAGTCAAACCTGTCCTTTGTGATAACGGACTTAGTAAACCTATCCTTTGGAAGCATTGGGCACTGTAATATCCATTATATCCCCTATAAATCCCCATAAATCCCATTAAATCACCATAAATCACCATTAAATCCCAACAGTCATACACTGTAATTATATTATACTGGACACATTCTGATAGCTCATGTGTTGGTACAGAATCACCACCCAACCTCCAGCTGTTTTTGAAGCGCCGCTACACGGGCAAGCCGCGACGCCATGGCCGTCAGCGGCAGGCCATGATTCAACACAACATTTGACGGAGCTTTTAGTTGATATCCATATACAATAAGAGTTATACATATATAATATACGTATATATATATATGTATATATATATATTAACAAATATCAATATGTATATATATATACAGAAACTGTGTGTTTTCTTAAAGTTCGAGATAGCATAGTTGATCTATTTATTATTGTACATACGAACCGCCAGTGTAGATATACCTACGGTAAACCCTACACATCACAGGTATAAACAAACAACTTACCCCGTTTATTGTATGATTCTATGTGATGTCTGCAGCTACTCAAGTATATACTATATACATATATATGTATACTATATATATATATATATACAGCTTAAATTCTCGTTAAATTACTTGGTGATAGTTGCTTAAAACATCTTAAAACTATGAGAACTACGATTACAATACATTGATCTAAATTGATGGATTTTTTTCCCCCTACTACCCAAATGCTTCAGCTATGGAATATTTACCAACATTTACCCTAAAAATCACCCAGTTTTGTAGGTAAAATACACCAGCACCATGGTTCGCATATGGGCAGTAGCTACGATGGAAAAAAACACGAAAACCCCAGATTCACCCTGGTCGAATTTTCGGGGGATTTACATACACAAAACATGGCACTGTAAGAGGGGGGCATTGAACCATAAGGGGATGGAACTGATGGAATGATTTGGAATGATTGTCATGCTTTTTTTTTCATGTTTTTCGTGTTTATGGTGGGGTTATTGTTGGGTCAGCCATCCGGTCTCATGATGACGAAAATATTGGTGAAGCTTTGCCCACATCGAAAAGTGGAAGAGGCGCGCACCAGACGTATCAGGATATTGGACAAACGTGTGTACAATTGCTTGTAGCTGGATATACATGCAGAATCATGCGGAACATGGCTAATTCTATAAATACCCCACAACAAGATCAACGCGTATCTGGGAAAACTACATTTCCCAAATCAAAATTTTAAAACCCGGCCAGCCACGGGGATGATTTCCCATATAAAACCACTGTTAAACCATCTATGGTGATGTCCAATGGGGTCGTTTTCTTTTTGCCCAGAAGTATAATTTTCCGCTGGATAGTACATATCCCCATGTACGGCAACCAGCCAAGGTTAACCCAGAAAAGTGGACTTCAGCATATGCCGTGTTGATATCATGACTTGGACCAAATCGGATTGAGCCCCGTAGATAGATAAGTTCCTTAAGTTGCTCTATCGTTAGGCTTACTACTGTTGATGGACTTATAGCAGGTATACCTATACTTAGATGGGGTTCAAAGTGGTTATCAATCTATATAAATCAATTACAACATAGGGGGATAAAACATCCTGTAAGCACAAGAAAAATACGGTCCCTAGATGTGTATGTTTGACGTAGTTGCCATATTACGCTACAAGGCTTGGTTACTGAAAGTTCCACTGAACGAAAGACAAAAACTACCCTCTGGTAAACTAACATAGCTATTGAACATGACCATTTATAGTAGATTTTCCCATTAAACATGGTGATTTTCCATAGTTATGTTGGTTTACCAGCGGGTATCTCACATTTCACTCATAAACATACTTAGTTTTTTTTCTGAACCTCGGTTGGCTGTTTTAACTCGCCCAAGCAAGACCCAGACTGCCCTGTAACGTACAGTATGATACAGTATGTATATATATATATACATATATATATATATTGTTATTCTTGTTGCAACCAACAAACATCATCTTCACTGGAGGTACTTCGTCAGGCAGTCATGTTCCATTCCCGAAGAATCTCCGGATGAAAGCCTCCTCCTTTGACTACCCAGCGCTGATTTTGGCCAAAGAAAATAGGGATTTAAGCCCTCAATGTGCTGGTATTAACCCCTCAATGGTATTACCCTCTGGTAATTTAACATAGCTATTGAAAATGACAATTTATAGTGGATTTACCCATTAAAATGGTGATTTTCCATAGTCATGTTAGTTTACCAGAGGGTAATCCCATCCCCCATATTCAACAGCCCCATATCCCATTGGTCCCCTATGAAAAAGTGATTTCATCCCGCACATTCACCACGGTTTCGGGCCTAGGGTGTTCAATTTGAACCCGGATTGGCTGAACCACATGTTCGATGATATACCCATATGCTCCATGTATGGTATATTTACCTACATTTGGGCCATTTATGGGGTAAATGGTGGTAAATATTGCATACATGGAGCATATGGGATAAATCTCATGAAACCCCGTTGAATTTCATTAAAATATCATTATATAAATTAACTCACCATAACTCTGCGACTAAAACACGTATGCCGAACTACAAGGTGAGGCCCCCTCAGTTATAAGTTGGTTCACAAACCCATGAACTATAGTCATTAACTGGTTCGATATATATATATATATAATATTCCCCTTGTTGCATCGCCCATCTCTGAACAGCCGCCTGGCACTCATGAGGATGTCAGGCCCCAAACCCTCCACACAGCGCTTGTAGAGCCGGGCCGAACAGTCCTATGGTGAAGGCGGAACCGCCTTTGACGAGGAATTTAGGGATATGATGATATTTATGACATATATAGAAAATTGTAGAAATATAATGGACATATATAGATACTTATTTTATGATATTTATGATATTTATTTATGATATTTATCCTTGTGCCTATGGAAATATATAGATACTGTTAATGACATGTTAATGACATCATCTACGGAGGAACATCGGGCCATTGGGATCAAGGGAGTTTTTCCAATTGGTGTTTTGATGGACATGTCATGGACAAAACATGATGGGATGTATCAATCCCTACAGGCTCTATATATCCCTATTTTGATTGATTGATTGATTGATTGATTGATTGATTGATTGATTGATGACTATCACCCAACATACGCAATTTACCCTCTGGTAAACGTTTACAGTTTGCTATTGAAAGTGGCCCAGTCGAAATAGTTGATTTTCCCATCAAACATGCTGATTTTCCATGGTTTTTTGTATGTTTACCAGTCCGTGTACCGAGATTTGACCATGGCACAGGCCAAAATTTGTCCTGGAGATGCCCCAAGGTGAAACCCGGGGATGTGAATGTTGGTTTATAGGCCCATTAACTAGTTTGTTATCCCCCCCGTTAACTAAGAAACTCTGTATAGAAATCACCAATTATATAAACTTAGTTATTTTCGCACCAACTTAGCTATCATTTAAATCATTTGGGGGGGCTTCATCTTGGTGATAAAGATCTTCCAACAAAAAATTCACAGTACATAAAACATCATAAAACTTACCAAAAAAACACACTCCCACAAAGATTCGGACTCAAAAAAAAGGAAAAAACTGTTGAGCCCTTTCCAAATCACCGCGCCGCGAAAAAACGCCGCGTTTCAACAAAAACAGCGGTCCTGCACCACCGCAGGTGCAGGGGGTCTCGTTGGCGGCCAACCCACCTGACGCCACTTTTTTGTCATGGCTCCTGAGATAGTTAGTCTTTTTGAGTTTTAATGGGATTTCATAGTGATTGTATTGGATTTAATGGTGATTTAATGGACATTGAATCATTGAATACAATGTGAGGCCCCCAAGATAGATAAGTTGGCGAACATAACTCCAATAACTATGGTTTATGGTATTTATAACTATAGTTACTGGTGCTTATAAACCCACAAACATCACTGGGGGGCCCCACATTGTAGTCTTTTTGAGCTCTAGAGGAACCACCGAAAAAAATGATGGAAAGTAAACATTTAGTTTATAAATTTAGAGGAACCGCCTAAAAATTGATGGACAAGTAACTTTCTGTGGTGAGCAACCATTTTCTATCCTTTTGGGGAGTACTATAAGTGACATTGTGTTTCTTAGATATACCTCAAACATTTATGTGTTGCACTTACAAGGGCCCCATTTTTTGCATGACGACTCTGCCATGACTTGGAGGTAAACAACAAACAACATTCCTACTACAAAGTAGTGATTCTCAGAGTCTATGTGAGTTGGGGGGGTGGTAGATAGGCTATATGGACTTTGCTAGTGAGTGCTTATATTCTTATTGTTATGATTGGTACTATTATTACTACTATCACTATTATTATTTTTTGTTATGGCTCTTCGAATAGTTCTGAGCCATGATATAGCCATTTAGCAGGGGATACTCATCGAATGATCTGGGAACTCTCCGTGTTGTAATGTCAGAAGTCTCTCTACCCGGTAAACGTCAACAAAAAACGAACTGGAGTTTATCACCATGCTATTTTCATGGGAAAATCCACTATTTCGACTGGGCCATTTTCAATAGCTATTTTGACATAACCAGAGGGTAAGAGTTAAAGAGTCGAAAGAGTTAAAGAGTCAAATATGTTAATATCTGGTTTAATATATATATATATATATGGTTAATTAATATATGGTTAATATATGGTTAATGATGGTTAATAATAACCTGGTTGGTGGTGCGTTTTAACCATCTTGAAAAATGATGGACTTCATCGGGGTTGGGAAACAACATCCCATGAAATTGAACATAAAATTCCATGGTTTGAAACCACCAACCAGTGTTGGACATGTTTTTTAATGGAAAAAAAGGTGACCTACGGACTGGTTGACCAAGCATTTAGCACTCTTTGGTTCTATGAGTTGCCTGTGTTTCATGAAAAACGCGATGAAATTCACAGCACGAAGACTCTTCCAACTATGGTGAATTCGAAACATGTTGGAACTCTTGGCGTCATGATAGTATCGAAACCCAACGATTGATGTTTTTTTTTGGATTCATAGTAGGTACAACTGTGCATATATCATAATATACCCTCTGGTTATTTAACGTAGCCATGGAAAATCATCATTTTTAATAGGTAGATCATCATAATTCATCTATAAATGGCTTATTTTCCATTGCTATGTTAAATAACCAGAGTGTAAATACAACAAATATGTCTATTTAAAACATGACAAATCCATTTGCTCTACAAGCTGAGGCACCCTTGTCAACG